GGTGCTGCTCCCGCGCCTCGCTCAGCCAGTGAGCGGGAACCGGTCTGTATGTGGGATCCGAACCCTCGGGCGGGAGCGCCGCCGCGCTTCCCAAGCGGCGCACTTATCCAGTGCACCACCGGGCCGGCCCAAGGATCCATTCTTCAACTGATGAATTAGAAAGTAAGGCAGACTGCATACCTTTAAAATATACTAAGAAGACATTTGAAAAGAGTGAAACAAAATTCCCTAGGATTGATCAGTAATACTCGTACTGAAGTTAAATATTTTATTATATATTAACAACTGTATAAAATCAGAGGGTACTAATTTTCTCCATCATAACAATAACTATAAACAACATATGAGGGTACTTTAAAAGGTTGTGGAAAATTGAATTAAAAGATAATAGTAATCTTTCCACGAACTTTGCAAAGACCCCTTTTATGTAAGGAAAAACATATAGATGTATCTCACTCCACATAATAGATAATTTTGTGATCTTATTTTTGCTTGTGCATCTACTAACATTCTCCAAAAAACAAGGCTTGAAAATTACCAAAAGGCTGAAAGAATACAATGAAACTGAATGGTGGTCTCAAAGGAAAAACTAACACACACATGACTTAAAAATACTCATTGTTACTTAGAGGTAGCAAACTGTTGGGGAAAAAGATCAAGTTCTTCTAGTGGTTTGGACCTTCCTTTGCTCTTCCCCTAAACTAAAGCAGAGCTTGAGGTTGGGACCCAGCACCTACATGGCTTCACAGAGTTGCTCAATGGTAAGCACAGCCTATACCTTTATGTCTGGAGGGGAGCCTAGAAAGAAGAGCTGGGCTAGAACAGCCCCTCAGAAAGGTCTCAGAGGCAAGAACGTTTGAGAACCATTGTTCTGGAGGAAAACTATCACATCTGCCATCTTAAAATGTAACATTAAAAAAAAAGAGAGGAAAAAAAAAACCCAGTGTTTTACCTGGCACTTGCTGATATATTTTTGAGAAACTCTTCACTAATCTTCCAGTTAGCCACATTTCCTTTCACAAAGCCAGCAACCATAACAAAGAGAAGGACCAGGATATTAATGGCTGTGAAGACTTTATTCACCCAAGCAGACTCTTTTACTCCAAAAGATAAAAGACCTACGGAAAAAGAAAGGGCATTTTAATTCTTACCTAAGCTTCAGGAAAGACAGTGGCATTTTGAGGCAGTTGTAGGCTTTAGGATGTTATTTCACCAGCATTCATATATTTACCTTCTATTTATTCATTTCTACTGCTAGTTCTTACTCATCAGTCATCTAATTATAAAACAATATCTTCTAAACACAACCAATTCGACTTCAGAAGGCAAACTGTGTTTACACTCAGGAGATAGCACACTTTCTCATATATATATATATGCCTAATAACTTTGGCTATTATTACCAATGATAGGTAGATGTAAAGTAACACCTAATTTTAATGAAATGCTGTTCTAAAAAGCCATGTCAAGGTTAATGGTTATGAACTCTTTAAAAGTAGAAGCTTTGCTGGCCCATTAGCTCAGTTGGTTAGAATGCAGTGTTATAACACCAAGGTCAAGGGTTCAGATCCCCGTAATGGCCAGCCACAAAAAAAATACAGAGCTCAATCATATGTCTGCCATATATTTATTGAACACAAAAACAGAAAATAATTCAATTGTCATGGTAAAAGTACTTTGTTAAATCTATCCTCATTTTAATAGCTTTATTTTACATTCTGATTGTATAAAGTAATCAATTTCCTGTTCAAGTAATTTGAAGATACAGAAAAAGTATGAAGAAAATAGAGATCAATTGTGGTCTCCTCTCCAGAATTTTACACACTCTCTCTCTCTCACACACACACACATACACACACACACACACACACACTTCCATGTTATCAAATATATAACCTCGTTTTAACAGCTGCATAATCTTCTACTGTATTGAGGTAGCTTTCTTTAAGCCCTTATTTATAGGCAATTAGAGCACTCAGTTTTTTACAATTATAAACAGAACTGACAATCATCCTTTTATAAATATCTTTCTATATAAAGTAATACTGTACCAAAGGGTATGTACTTTTATACAAGGGTTTGGTTCATATTGTCAAAATATTCTCCAGAAAGTATGGCCCAATTTAAATTGCCTATTTTTTTCTACCTGGATATTCTGTTCATATTGACTTATAAGATTTATTTACATATTAATGCTATAAGCTCTCTGCCTGTCATGTATAGCATTTATTTTTCACAGTTTATCATTTCCTTTTAACCTTAGTGTTTTTAACCTTGTAGGAAAGTTATTAGAATAAATCAATTTTTCCTTTTTAGTTTCTACCTTTAAAAAGACTTTCCCTTAAACATTAACCCAAAACATTCACCTTTGTTTTCCTCTAGCATTTTTATGATTACATTTATCATACTTACATCTTTAATCCACCCAGTATAAGATATGAATTATGGAACTTTCTTTTTTTTTTTTCCTTTTTGTCTTTTTTCGTGTCCGGCAACGATTGCAACCCTCAGTGTCGCGCCCGTACCAGACCAGGACCAGCAACGGGATCGCAACCCTCGGTGCTGCACCCGCACCTCGCTCAGCCAGTGAGCGGAACCGGTCTGTATGTGGGATCCGAACCCTCAGTGGGAGTGCCGCTGCGCTCCCAAACGGCGCACTGTAGCAGTGCGCCACCGGGCCGGCCCATGAATTATGGAACTTTCTATGGAAGTTTACCTTTTACCACTGGGGAAAAAATTGCTGTGACAGATTATGTAACAGATTTACCTGCTTCTTCCCTCATCTATAACCACCCACCCTCAAATTACCAAAATTTTCCATGCAGAGATGACAGAAGTTGAATGTCATTCTTCTGCCTGTATAATTCACAGAATCATATGATAATACAATATAACTGTATGAATGATATAAAGGAAAGCTGCATGGTCAGCAGGACTATTGCCTCTCAAATTGTCTGTCTGTTAGGTTAGGAACCATTGCTATCCACCCGGGACAATAACAAAGCCACCACATCTTACATAAGTTTCCCCACACTCCACATGTACCCTCCACTCTAAGATCTTGTCTCCTACCAACAGATTAGAGGCCAATGAATATCTCACCTCAATACTGCACACGCTTCCCTAGTATCTTTAATAAAACAACAGCGTCAGTTGACAGGACATTTGGTATTGCAATATGAATAAAGATTTATAGTAAAGGGTTTTGAACTTCAAAGACTCTGTGATCAAAGTTATAACTTAAGCATAGCCTATGTTTAAAGGAAAGATACAATGGTGAATGAACACAGGACAAATGACACAGGCCAAGGCCTTAGTCTTGCCATGGAATTCAGTGGTTCTAACTGTGTCATGGCCACATGCTTCTCATCATTTAGAGATTAAAGGTGAATATTTTAAGTTCATCCCTAAATAAAATATGATGTAACTAATTTAATGTTAGCTAGGCTGTTTAGAAACCAAAACAAACAAAAATCTACTGTTTGTTGAAAAACATTCTTGACATTACAAACAAAATGCAAAATATTTCTGACTATAAATTTTGTCACGCTCCTATCCTTATATAAAACACTTAATTAGTGATTAACTTTTTAAAGGGTAAGTCTGTTTTTTTAAATTATATAATTTAACAAATAAACGTTTCACAATAGAAGGATATTTCTGTCACACTTTTCTAACCAAGGGAGAAAATTAGAGATAAGGCTGGGCAGGAAAGCAAGGCACAGATTTCCCAGGGTAAATCAAATAGGAAGTTGGAACAAACATGGATTTTATTCTTAGTGTAATTGTTGACGGGTTTAAGCAGCATTGCAGGTAGAAACGACAATCAGAATAAAAAATGTTCAAATAATTAAAACAAATATAAAAGACAGCGGGGATTAGCTATGCCTAGAAAATAAAATATGCTTTTACCTGAGAGATTATGTACCAAGCAAAAAGCCAGTATGAGATAGACACTGATATCTTCATTTTATGCACGAGCAAATTAAGTGATGGAAAGGTTAAGTAACTCTTTCAAGTTCCAAAGGTAGTAGGTAGCACAGAAGGAATGAAAATCTGATTGCTCTGATTCAAATCCCTGTGCCTTTCTAAACCACTATGCTACAATACTGATGAAAACTGAAAAATTCCAGTACCCAGTATGTTTGTCTACATAATGTCTACATTAAAAAACAACAGGTGATTTGAATATGCTTCCTTTTCAACCAGCTGCCTACATTATACAGATGAAGGCATGATAGAAAAACAGAATTTCTTCTAGAAATAGTATGCTTGTAAATATCCTTCGTTGTATTGAACAAGATGAAACGATGCCACGAAATTACACATTCTTCCTTATTGAAACTTCACTGCCATTCCTGCAAGCTTCCAATTAATATTATAAAACTGATGTTCTCATTACATTATTTAGAGCATGTCAAGTGCCATTTACCCGGAAGTGCTATTTCTACCATTCCACACAACTTAGACTCATTTTTGAAACACGCCTATTACATAAGATAAATTGTGATTCCAGCTAGTGATGAAGCCCACAGATGCCCAGCAGTAACCTATATGTGTAAATATGCTGACCTAGTGTTGAGAACTCAGGCCCCAAATTCAGTAGTAACCTATGTTCCTGGAACAATTAATTCGGCTCATCCTGAGGAGAAATGTTATTGGTGTTCTTACCTGCTAGAATTAATATAAGGCACACAGCAAAAAAGTCTGGATACTCTGCAAGGCCGGTGTAATTCATTTTGAAGTATGTCCTGAAAAACTGACCAATCTGTTTGCTAAGAAGTTCATCAAAGGTGCCACTCCATGCTCTTGCGACACTTGAGGTACCTTCCCAAGACAGAAGATTTAGAGAATACAAGGTCACTGGCAGAAAATCAACATAACATCATTTGCTACTATATCCTAGGATAAATATGGGTTAGTTCACACAGATTGAAAACTTTAAACAGATATAAAATTATCCTGATAATTTATAATTATACAATAGTAAACCACATTCAAATGCTCAAGTCGGTAACTGTGGAATCGGGTAACTTTATTTGCAATAAAGAACTATAATTAAAAAAAAAAGTTTTCAAACCCACTAAGAGGCATATTCAGAGATGAAGCAGAGTCAGAATTTTGTAATCAGGAGACATTCAGAGATGAGAAAAATGTGACATACAGGAATCAAGTGATCTACCCATGATCACCCAGTAACTAACTAATGCAGACCTACCACTGAGCACTAAGGCCTCTGACTCAGGAGTGTTATTTCTACTATTCTACACAATTTAGATTTATTTCTGAAACATACCTATCACATAAGATAGAATAAGATTCCATCCAGTGATGAAGGCCCACAGCTCTCCAACAGTAACATAAGTGTACAAATATGCAGACCCAGTCTTGGGAACTCGGGCTCCAAATTCAGCATAGCAAAGGCCAGCCATCATGGAGGCCAGGGCAGCAATGAGGAAGGACAGGACAATGCTGGGGCCAGAGTCTGCTTTGGCAACTTCACCCGCAAGCACATACACCCCAGCTCCAAGAGTGCTTCCAACCCCCAGGGCAATGAGGTCCATGGTGGATAAGCAGCGGCATAATTTGGTATCTTCTAGAGTGTCCAGAGTGACAATTTTTCTTCGGATCAGACATCGGGCAAAAGTCAGCACAGCTCTGCAGGGAATCATTCTGAAGAGGGCAACCTGAGCAGAAGGGAGAAGGTTAGAAGCTGATCTGGAATCACCATTCCTCCATTTAAAAATCCAGCTTCCAATTACAGGAGTTGTATTTCTTTTTTACTTGTTAATAGAGGTATGACCCAGAGCAGTCAGGAGGGTTTAACAAGCCAAAGCTTCCTATCTCCTATCATTTACTCACTATGCCCCTTTAAAAGGGACTGCAACAAATGGTTTCTTCAGGAAGCAAAGAAATAGCAGCCCTCGGTGATTAAAAAGATTTGGCATTTTTGTTCACCTATTATAATTTTTAATGATATGTTGATAAAAATATATATATATTATATATTCATGTAATCCCTCACTACAAAGAAAGGAATGGACTGCCTCATCTTTTAGACTCACTCTCTTCTGCTTTTCTTCAATCATTCTTTCAACTCAGATTTTTTAGGCCTTACTAAATGCCAGGGATTGTGCAAGGTATTTGTGTAGAATGGTGTATTACACAGATGTGGTCTCTAGGTTTATGGGACTTACAGTCTAGCAATTGTCCAAAAGCAGGTAAAAACATGATCATTATGTATTCTACAGCTTTATCAAATATGTGTGAGCTTCTCTGTTTTCATTTTAAACAATTAATATGGTGCAGATGTGAACTTTTTGGAATTTAAAAACATGCTTAGATTATTGTAACAAAAACTGCCATTCAATTATGCCTCAAGTATAAATTTTTGTTAAAATAAACATGCTTATTATATTTGAGATTTCTACATAAACTCAAGGTCCATGGCAAGTGTTATATATGTTCTTTTTTAAATAAAATGAATAAAGTAGACAAAAAGTCTCATTCCACCCCCCTGCAGGCCCAAACAATCTAACACTGAAAAGAAATCACGTTACAAAATAAAATATGGATTTTGGTAAGAAAAAATATATAAACACATATTACAGTAAAAATGTCTAAAACAAAATATACCAAAATATTTACAGCAATTATATTTGGGGGTGGGTTAATTTTTACCTCTATGTATTTCATATAATATGCATTATATATTGCTAATATCTACTTATAATTTATCTCCAATGAATATGTACAACATATGTGCAAAAGAAATATAAAAATTAGAAAGCTCTACATGGCCTTATCTACAGAGGCATTAACTCAGTAGATGAGGAAATAAGTGAGGAATATAATAGTACTCCTCTATTGCTGCTTACCAATCAACAAAATTAAATGTATTTAACTTTTAGAAATTAAAAGTCATGCTTGCTTTTACTACATGTATCGCACTTCTACTGCACAATGACCTGCAAACACTGAATGCTATTCCCTTTGAACTTCATTACATTTCATCATCAATAACCTAAACTCATGACATCACAGCCTGACATCTTCTCGGATGAACTTTCTATTCTATAAAACAAACCTTTGAACACTTTTCAACCTTAACCTAAAACTATTATTAAATATTATATTACTTAAAAATAATAAATAAAATAAGAACTAATTTCTATAAGAAATCTAAAAGAGTTGTTGCTCATAAGAGAAAGAAACCTTTCTGGAATGTGAATAATCAAATTTCCATTGAACCCAGTAAATAAAACTAACTTGCTGAACATTATGCACACATCAATATAATGCCACTTCTCAATATTGAAAGCAGTTAACTCAAAGAATATAAGAAGAATCCTAAAGAAAAATGAAAATGGGTGGAAAAGTCCTTGACGGTAAAAATAAAGTTTAACACATCTTCAATATCTTCTGCATCACCTGAAACAATGCCAAAGCATGGCACTTTACAAATGCTTGTTGAAAACTGTGCAAATACATATGACATCTCCAATTTTGCCAAAACTCAGGCTTCCAAAGTCAAAACCTATCAATAATTTTATAAATCAAATGTGTGTTAATTTCTACCACTGGCTAACCCTTAAATAGTTATTTCTCATATAACATATCTATACGATAAGTTAGGGAAGTGTCTTGCTTAAAAAGAACGAGAGTGAAAAGTAGAAGTTATATGAAGGCTAACTGAAGGGGAGAGGGAGAGGTGGGGGAGGGTATTACTAAATTCCAAGCTTCTGTAACATTTAAGCACTTTTATGCAAACAGAGATGTACAAAGATCAAGAATCAGGGATGACTGCCAAATGCGTTTCACTAATGACTTGAGATCATGTGAAAATGTGACATGTGGTACACAACTGAACACGTGTTCAGTTGTGTTTAGGAACACAACTGAAAGAAAATGAGGCATACCTGTTTGCCATTTAATGAAATCAAACACTCTCATGATGGGATGCTTGATAACCTTGACTTTTATGAGTAAAAGACAAATCCTACAACTATTCCATATTTAAAAAGAAAGGATCTGGAAAGAAGCAAAGAAAATGAAGAGATTTTTGGGGGGAATAAGATTGTTGGAAAGCTTTTATTTTTTTTAAAACCTTTTTTCTGGTGTTATGGTCACAATACCGTTTATGAAATTTCTAAAGAAAAAGGAGCATAAAAATGAAAGAGAATAAGCAAGCCAACCAACAACCAAACTTTCTTTGAAAACGTTATTAAGTTACCCAAATGAATAAATTAGTGATAGTCATCTCTTCCAATATAAAATTGAACTAATTCACTCCAGATGACATAGGAAACAGAACTGCTTATAGAAATGTATAGCTTTAATCAGATAAGATCTGATTTTTACTATATCTTTCCTATTAAAGAAGAATGGATTTTACTATATTTTATTCAGTTTTTCCATGTTGCTCTGGGCAAATAAGTCAAAGAGGTCATTTATCAAGCATTCATTTGCTTTTGAGTAACAGAAAAGCACACGTCAGAAACTTCTCAGAACGACAGGTTACTCAATGTCCTCTGCAAACAATCCCAACTACGCGCAGCCTGGTAAAATACAGATTGCAAAAGCCATCCACAAAACTGATTTTGCAGAAATATAATGGAATGGGAGAAAAGGAACAAAAATATACTGGGTCAATTTAATGGGTCATTATCAAGCAAACATTTACTAAGTCCTAGCAGGTATCTCATACAGTGTTTATAGTACAGAAAAAAGATAATCTTGTGCTTTTGTAAAACACGTTTTTGTGGAGACACACTGCTATATGAAAGTAGTGTGGAAACAAGGAAATGACAAAAAATGATATTTGTGTCTAATGTTAGTGATATAATTTGAGATTTATGTATTTTTTAAGTTTTATAACTTTTCCTTTAAATTTTTTTAAAAAGACAGGCTCCTTATGTGAAATGGTTGTAAAAACCTTACTCTCATTTTTACAAAGCACTTTCATAGCTGGAAAAAAGACCACTCACATTTATTCTTTTACCACACATACATAGGCAGAGATAATATGCAGGGATTTTGAAGGGAACTCTATTGATCTGGAGGGCACAGACTGTTTTTCAGGGAGTAGACCATGGATCTGCACCATCATACCCTCTACCTGCCATGGCCACTGTGACCAAGGACTTGTGTTTAATATGAAACTACATACTTTTAGTAAAGGACAATGATCCAAACTTTGGGAAGAGGCCCATGCAAAACTCACATCCACGTCCTTGGCCTTGGAATATTAAAGGCTCTAAACAATATCCCTATGAGATCACAAATGATTCTGGCGATACCAGAAATAGATGTGTATCTTTTTTCAATAATCAATTATTTTATTAATTGCTAAGACAGTGGCCTCTTTCTTAAGGAAGAAAAATATGCACATATTAGTTTAGATCTGATTAGCCAAGGGAGGGCTGGAAGGGATTAACAATGTGCACTACCACAGAAAAGTCTGAATGATTTTAATAAGCCCGATGACAGCTGTGGATCTTCCTCAGCCCCACCCCAACCCAGCCCCACCCTTAAGCATAACAGTTGCTAGGCACCTTACTCCTTGAAGGGCCCCCGTGAATTCTTGTCAAAAAGCTAAATTCCTTCCTCAGCAACTTGTAATTATCTCCTTCTAAAACTTCTTCAACCCAGATCATCAACTTGACAATGCTGAATTTTAGGTCTGATAAATCGCTAGCCCTGATGATATGACAACACCCTAGAACAGACTTCACCTACCCACAGAAATCTTTCAAAATCTGCTAAATACAGTCAAAAGTTGATCCTGGATTTTTGCTTTAGTTCAAGTTTGATGTAGCATTTAGTAACATAGAAATGCGTCTTTCCCCTCCTCCCCTAAGTAAAGGCTGAAATGTCAAACTTAATCCTCTGTATCAGTATCACAGGCCCTGACAATAAATCTTACAGGGGAAACTATCTGTGGCAAGCCAGTAGGGCAGGTATTCCAACAAATCCTCAACAAATTAGCTCATCCGAATTATAACCATTTTTTCCTCCCTCACTTCGGTTGCTAGATTCATGGTAGGACATCTGCACTTTGTTTTTGTACGGACAGGGAAAAAAGTCATTAAACCATATAGAACAGAGATCTTTATGGTCTCTGTTTTTTTTTTTTTAATTCCAAACTGAATCTTTTGATTTTTGCAATCTCTAAACCCAACATCAAATATGTTCTACAACTTTAAAGTTCCAAGACAAAATTTCAAATTATGCTGTAGGTTAAATAATTTAGTAAATGGGAAAAAATAAGATATGGACATAACAACACAAAATTATTGACTTTTTTCACTCTTTTTACTTAGTTTTGAGAGATTAATTTCTCAATAAATACATCAAAAGTATAATACAGAATAAAAGACAGTCAGAAATGGTAACAACAGTTCAGCCTTGATTAGCAAAAAGCAAAAACAACAGCATTTGCATTCAAACCTAAAATCTTTATTTTTCTGGAAAACAAGAATAGTTTTTCATGCACATTTCACTTACATTAAGTGGTCTTCAAAAAGTTCATGGAAAGATTTGTATTTTCTTGTAATTTGATTTTTCTACAAACTTTCTGAAGTACCCTCATATTTGGTCCAAAACTTTATCTCCAAATCAAATTTTCTGAATAATTTCTTCCTCCAAAGTTTTCTCCAGATAGGTGAATACA